GTTCAGGCCTGTCCAGGTCAAGACGAACACATTATTAATTAATTCGTTATCACGAGATAACGATCTTTGTTATGTCGAGATAACGAGATAATAAGTCGTTATCACGATATAACAGTGCATAAAAAAAATAAAAATCCATGGCCGTTCTCGGCTTCCGTAACTATTAGTACTAGTATAGTATAACTTTGCACTGAGCTTAGGGACCATTGGAAAAAAAAAATCGTTCACATAGGGCTTGGAGATGCTAAATATATTTTCATATACATTTAAAACATTGTTAAGGACATGATACAGTTACCTATGTGCTTTCACAGGATGGAGGGAAACAGAGTGAGCCACAGAGGTTTGCTGTCACTCACTGACTTAACCCCAAATCCTCTGACAAAAGTTGTGTGAGTGATTTGCTTTTTTCAACAAATAATTCTTATCCATATTTCAACAATTTATGGAGCTTCTGTCAATTTCCTTTTGATACAGAGCCATATGGAATGACCTGACTGACACAGATCCAGAGTCCTTGTGCACCAAAGAAAGCATAACTGTGAACTTCACAGATGACGATACGTGGGGTGGGTGGGGTGAGTGGGTCTTCAAAAGGTGTGAGGTAAGCAGCAACGAGAAGTTACTGATGGTACTCCACAAAGTGTGCAACATATCGGCCGACGGCTTAGAAGTCCAGTGGGCGAAGACCTTCTACAAGCAACTATCACAGCTGATCAAGCACAGGATTGAGTGCTGCACCGAGGACGACATCTGCAAGAAGCTCAAAAAGTTTGAGAGCATTTTAAACCTCTGACAGACAGAGATCTACACTAGCACATGAAGTAAATTATAAGCTATAATATACAGCACCAGTGTCTGTTTAATGCTGAATGCTTTGTGAACTTCTTACTTCCTGAAAATACATTTCCTTTCCATGTTTCAGTGGGAGTAAACCAGCAACATAAATATGTGATAAAATAACGTCTGCTTTCCTAGATGCATAATTATTTAAAGTAGCATTTAAAGTGCATTTAAAGTAGGTCCATATCTTATGAAACATAAATGTAACAGGTGGGGCAAGCAGCAGTCCAAGTAAGTTAGCCACCTACAGACAGGTTGCTGTAAATCATTCCAAACAAAATGACAAAATCAATCCCACAAACGGTCAGAAAGTGAACAACCAGTATCACTACCACCTATGTAGGAAGATCAAAATAGTTAACTGGCCCGTACGGGGATCGAACCCG